ATATATATATATATATATATATATATATATATATATAGCTTTGAGATACGTCAGTACTCAAACTTTGGTTTGAAGCAAAAAAGTATTTGACAACTTAAAAAGGTACACAGCTGCGTACTTATGGTTCAACAGAACTGTATTGACGTTTAGTCACAGATTTTAAGTCTGTTACTGATGACAGACTACATTATGAAACTAGTTAGTAAGGTAATCTAGGTTACTCAATACTCATTTTAGGCAATGTATTCTGACTTTTTAGATTACTTTTAGATTATTATTTTTTTATCAAACCTGTTTTAAACTTACCATATTGATGTAAAAAAATCAAAGAGAGAAAAAAATATACAATTTTTTTATATAAACATCCTAAAATGCATTAAACATTACATTACACCAGGGTTTCCCCAAACTGGGCTTAATGTAAGAACTGCAATGGGTTTGTGAATTGATAAAAAGCTAATAATTACATCATAAAAATGTAAAACAAAACGAATTGAAACACTAAAAATATAAATATTTACCTGCACATCAATGTGACCATTAACTGACATCAGAGAACTGTAAACATGTGAATGTGTTGTTAAATTATTTGAAATATAAACTTTCTCAGAGATATTTCAAGTAAATATTTTATTTTAAGGGGTTTGGCTGACAAAAACATTTGGGAACAAACATTAATAATCATAAAAACAACAATGACATTACATGCCCAAAGTCTCCCAGGTTTGAAATATTTTTGTCCAGAATCATCAATCACTTAAGGTCACTAGATATGACGAAGAAACAGTGTTTCTCAGCAGTGTTTAGTAACTTACATCAATATTTGTTTCATACATGGTCTAATAGCTTGAGAGGTGCTTTTTCCCCCTTCAAATTCAGAAGCATGGTTTGCAAATTTATTTACACAACATTTGTGAATAGTCAAAGCAAAATGGTATGATAAAGTAGTAGTTTTAGAAAACAAAAAACAAAAAAAGAATTACGGAGACTCAATAAATAATAAATAATTTACTCCCATTGTGTGAATAATACGTAATCATGTGACGCATAAGAAAAGTAACTGTAATCTGATTGAGCATTTTAAAATGTAATGTACTCTAATTACAAGTACTTAATTTTTGGAATCTGATTGCGTAATCCAGCTTATATGTGATTACCAGCACTCTTCACAATATCCCATATGAGCTGCTCGGGAGTGTACAGTAACCGACTATGATTGATTACAATGCTTGTAAATGCTACTATTAAATATTTCTCTGTGAATAACGAACAAATGTGATTTTTTGTGTGTTCCCTTACCAAAAACCTAGGCTAATCATGTATTTTGATACTCACTCGTTATTGTTACTGTTACAATAAAACAGCTGTAACTTTACATAAAAAAAAGTTATTAAAAACAAAATGAAGTCGACTCCTAAAGCGTACACTACAGTTTTATTATGATTTCTGCAGAAACCACAGCGTTTTAGCAGAAGCTCCGGTACCACGATCATTTTTTTTTTAAATAGTCATTGGCATAATGGTCATAATTACAGTACAATAACAATCATCTCCCGTTTTTCAGTTAGTTATTGTGCTTTACTGAGCATCTAACAACAATGGAGAGCAAATAATGACTACGAGTTACAGATTAAAGGGGTCATATGATGCGATTTCAATTTTTCCTTTCTCTTTAGAGTGTTACAAGCTCTTGGTGCATAAAGAAGATCTGTAAAGTTGCAAAGACTAAAGTCTCAAATCCAAAGAGATATTCTTTATAAAAGTTAAGAGTTAGCCACACCTACCTAAAACGGCTCGTTCGAACATGCCCCCACGTTTTGTAAAAATCGACGCGTTTCAAAAAGGCGGGGCATAGAGGAGAAACAATAATGTACAGTATGTGGAAAATAATGTGTTTTTTTTTACTTTAAACCGCATAAACACATTTCATTACACCAAATACACAAAATAATGTTCTTTTTAGCAGCATCATATGACCCCTTTAACAGTTTAAGATCATGAAGTCCGACTGCGCATGTGCTAATTAATCAGGGCTGGTCTTTGATCAAAATTGCGAAACGACACACGTTTTAAAATTGTGTTTTGGTTTCATTTCAAAAGGTTATTAAAATAAATATCAGCATATGCTCGTCGAAAAAAACCACACGGCCGGGCTCGTTAAAGCACACGGTGGGTCCGGAGTAAAAACACACGCATATAAATGCGGAACTGCTCGTTTATAAACGTGTATGCGCGTGTAAATGACCAGTTTATGGTTTTATACTCCCCTACCACGCCTGAATCCGACGATATGGATGTTTGCTAGGAGGTAAACAATGAACAATTTAAAATAATAAAAAACAAACAACAGGAAATGATACCTTGCCAGGCTGCCGTGGGTTAGGTAAGCGGATCACGCAATGCATTAAAGCCGCTGTTTTCGTTATAATATAATCACCACCAGTTCCTCAGTTCAACACAGCGCCTTTGTTTGTATCATAATTCTATGCGACAACAAACGCATATGCGTTTTATTTTCAAATACCTTGTAAACAAGGGCAGGGGTCCTCACTTCTCCCGTCGTCATCAAAACGCCATCTTAGGAGTTTGTGACGTAGGCAGTGTGACCCCTGACCCAGTCGAGATCAGTCTCACCCCCTACCTGTCCTGCTGGAGCTGTTACCATAGTATTACCTCAGGTTCCTCTGTCAGAGTGACACAAGGCTTGATGATACTCTACATGTTCTGAGCCATAGTACAATACCAAATATTCAAAATCATATCTTTTTTTTGTTTTTGTTGAAACAACCTACATTCTAAAATGACAAAATACTGAAATGAAATTGTATAAAAATACATTTATTGAATGCAACTAACTGGATACAGTGTATTTGCCATAAAGCATAAATATAACAGCAAGGGTTTGTAGTATATTATACAAATGAATATCAGATATGTTATGGAGAAGTATTTCATAACTAAAAACATTTTCACAATTGAAACAACTTCATAGTAGCAACTGCACATGCAAATGTGGCGAGCCTTAGATTGAATCAAATGTAATGTGTGTCTTCTGTATGAAGGTCCATCACAGGCTGAGGAAGAGAGGGTTAGAGAACCGTGGCTTCCTGGATCGCTTCAGTCCATCTAGGAGAAAAAAATGTTTACGCAATGATTATGACATTGAAATGGCTAAAAACATGGAGTGTTTCATGACTGAAGGCTCTTTTATACAAATACACTCACCTGTCACAGATCTGGCTGTCGCTCGCTCTGAAGACGTAGTACAGAGTGTTTTTGTGATAAAGTTTAAAATGCAGGGAAGATTCGGGTTTCTCTGTTCGGACAGAAAATCCCAGAAGAGGTTGACTTTCCAAAGCTGCTACGTCCTGCATACAATAAATACAAGTAGTGTAAAAATGCTAAATAAATAAAATAGTGTAAAAAATACATTTATCGAGTGCAATGAGCTGGTTACATAATTTGATAAATAATAAAATATGTGGTTATAAAGCAGAAATTTAACAGCATCACTTCACAACATGCAAGTTGATATATATATATATATATATATATATACATACATGTGTATATATACATATATATAATAATAACTATTATAACTAAACTGAAGAGCTGCTCACTCGTGTGCTGTATGTTTGATAACAGAAACCTGAGCACATTAACACATGATTGCCCTCATTTACACATCAATGGCTATTTCTGTTTAGAACCTAGACCCACCCAGTCACTATCACTGATACTATCACTCCACAACAGCAGAGGCTCCAGCAATAAGAAGTAGCATTTGCATCCTGATCATTTCAATCTGACCTCAAAGTCTACAGAAAATTAAAGATGGACTCTATTTACTTATTTTAAATTGCCCCGTTTATATGTTCATACCTCACTGGCAGCATAAGTGTACAGAACTTTGTTCATGATGACAAACCAGAACCGTTTCCACTGTTTTCTGTTGGCCTTCGCCCTCTCCAGGTAGCCGCTCATTGAGGATCCGTCTGTGTTAGCCGAAACCTAAAATTAATGAATGGATTCAATTTATTGACATCTACACTACCGGTCGAAAGTTTAAATCTTGACATTGAAGAAGTATCTTTTGCTCATCAAGGCTGCATCTATTTGATCAAAAATCCAGCAAAAACTGTAATATTGTGATTTTTTTTTTTTTTTTGTGCAAATTTAAAATAACTTTTCTATTTTTATGTTAAAATGTAATTTATTCCTGTGATCCAAAGCTGAATTTTCAGCATCATTTTTGATTAACTGTACAAGAGGCAGCACGAGACAATCTTCAATGGCTGGAGCAAGACAAACCTCAACAGACTGTAAACCTGAAACTGGCTTTATGATATTAGGTTAGATTCAGTCAGCTTTGACTGGCATATGAAAGACAGTTCTTTGGATCATCACCTCTTTAAGGGCTGCTGGTATTTTCTTCTGCTTTCTGAAGGGATAGGCACCAGGCGACTTGCCTGTCGGTGACAGAGGTGTATTACTGGGTACTTGGTCACCTAATATTAGTAAAAACACACACACACACACACACTCTTATTTAATACAAAGCAATTCAAATATATAGATCGAGGCTTCAAGCAGACAGAGTTTCTGTGTGAGTGTGTTTGCGTCATGAACCTGAACTATTTTGCTGCAAAGCGGAGAAGCAGAGATCGCAAACTCGCGCGAGGTGATTCTTCAGGTATTTCAGCGGCTGTTTGTTAGTTGAACAGGCCTGACACACAACCTATACAGTCAGCTTTGACTGGCATATGAAAGACAGTTCTTTGGATCATCACCTCTTTAAGGGCTGCTGGTATTTTCTTCTGCTTTCTGAAGGGATAGGCACCAGGCGACTTGCCTGTCGGTGACAGAGGTGTATTACTGGGTACTTGGTCACCTAATATTAGTAAAAACACACACACACTCTTATTGAATACAAAGCAATTCAAATATATAGATCGAGGCTTCAAGCAGACAGAGTTTCTGTGTGAGTGTGTTTGCGTCATGAACCTGAACTATTTTGCTGCAAAGCGGAGAAGCAGAGATCACAAACTCGCGCGAGGTGATTCTTCAGATAAAGGTTCCAACAAAAGGTTTTCACAGTGATGCCACAGAAGCAGCATTTTTGATTCCCCAAAGAACCTTTCAATGAACAAGTTCATACCAGAGAACTAAGATGTCACAAGAATTACAGAGAGAAAGAGAGTGAGACTTTGACATTTTCTGAAGAAGAAGCTTGCTTGTGTAAAACAACGCTTTGCTACAGTGGCTATAGTGTTGTTGGTGCTGTCATTGCTGTACGATGTTTTGAGCAAATTTTTAGCATATCTAAAAACTATGTTTGAGCAATTTAGCAATATCAATTTTTGAATTCATAAACAATTTCAGCTGAACGGAAAGCAGCTCTTCAGAAAATAACAGTGTCATTATACAGTAATGTACTGAATTAGCTATCACGTCATTCACGCTCATGAAAATAAAGGTTCCAAAAACAGGTTTTCATAATGATGCCATAAAATAACCAATTTTTGGTTCCCTAAATAATCTTTTAATGGACAGTTCTTAAAATAACCTTAGTTTTTCACAATGCGAAGAATGTTTTAATAGTCTAAAGAACCTTTCACTATCTTTCACTATAAAGAACCTTTTGTGGAATGGAAAGGTTGCATAGATGTTAAAGGTTCTTCATGGAACCATCAACGCCAATAAAGAACCTTTATTTTTAAGAGGAACTCTTTAGAATTTCAAATGCCATTTTTCTGTTGTTGTCTTTACAATACTTCATGTTTATTATCTTTGCTTCCCTCTCTCTATATGTCACATGCCATGTAAATCCAACTCCAAGTTTGAGGAACTCTGCAAACAATTGGCAGTGATAAAGATCACCCATGAGAACAAAGACTAAGTGCTCTGGCTCATCGCTGGGAATGTCAAAACATGCCGGCAAAACATACATTCCCCTTCGCCCCCCAGGAACAATCCCTCTCTCTCTTTTCCCCTGCCTGGCTGACAAGTTGCGCATCTCTCATTTTTCTCACATCAGCTTCACCATTCTCTGGTTACTTCTGTATGCTTGGCTTTTCACAGCTCATGGCTGTTTTGATTTCTGGCACCTATCGTTCAGCCGCTAAATTATTTTTTTATTTTTTTGCCAAATCTCAGCACAGATTGAGACACTGTTGAGATCTTCAACAGACAGATAGACACATAGTGGTTTTACACTGACTTATTCAAATATCGCCATTTTATTCTCATATTTTCTAAAACAAACTGAGATGTAAAGTGAGAAGAACAATGTTTTCTGAAGAAAATGTGAGTGGTACTTGTGCATTGGTATACAACACAGTGACTGTGTTGTTAGTGGTGGTCAAGGCATTGTTGTACAATGTTTTGAGTAGTGTTGGGGAAAGTTACTTTTAAAAGTAGTGCATTACAATAGTGTTACTCCCTAAAAAGTAACTAATTGTTTTAGCTACTTGTTATGAAAAGTAATGTGTTACATTACTTTTTTTCTCATCTGGGCTGAGCTTGCTTGTTTGTTTTTAATATAAAAAGTTCTATTTTTGGCAAATGTAAGAGCCCATCAAACCAAAAGTGAAAGGAATAAGCCTCAGGCTGAAGGAAATGTAAATTCACATCTGTACAGTAGAGGCCGCCGCTCGAACTGATTGCATGCAGAATAGGATGCAGGAGAAGAAAGTTCAACAGTCTTCAGCAATTAAAAAAAAGAAATAAACAAGTGTTTATCTAAGGTCATTTTTGCTGATTAGTAAGGTTGAATTGGATCATCGAAGGTCAGCAGCAAAGACATTGCATAATGAAATGGGATTAAATACATAAAGGATATTTGTGTTATTTAACATGTTTAATTATTGCAGGTTTGCATCATATTCTGAGTTTGCATTATTTTGAGGAATACTGAATCTGTTTTTGTGCAGGTCAGATTGAGTAAATGCATGTTCACGTTTAGTGTAGAACTACAGTAACATCATGTTCACACAGCGCACACGACGCCTCTGAACTCACGCGCTGTCAGTCAATACATGGGAAAACAAAGTAACTGGCGTATTTCCTCATCCAAATTTGTGGAGAATTTTTTTCTGCCTACAGTCCCACCTCAGTGAAAACACCTCTCGTTATTCAGGTTTTTCAGATGCTTCAGGAACCACAAAAATTTAATTATACATTGATCAGAGTGCATTTTTCACCTTCCGAAAATGCTTGAAAAAAGACATAACGTTTGCTTTGATAAAACAAACACTACTCAAAGTACTAAAATTATGGATTTACATATCACACGTCACATATTACTCGTCTTTTAGACCGTTTGATTAACTGTACAGGAGGCAGCACAAGACAGCTGTCGATGGCTGGAGCGAGACAAACCTCAACAGACTGTATACCTGGATCTGGCTTTATGATAACAGGTTAGATTCAGTCAGCTTTGACTGGCATATGAAAGACAGTTTTTTGGATCATCACCTCTTTAAGGGCTGCTGGTATTTTCTTCTGCTTTCTGAAGGGATAGGCACCAGGCGACTTGCCTGTCGGTGACAGAGGTGTATTACTGGGTACTTGGTCACCTAATATTAGTAAAAACACACACACACACACACACTCTTATTTAATACAAAGCAATTCAAATATATAGATCGAGGCTTCAAGCAGACAGAGTTTCTGTGTGAGTGTGTTTGCGTCATGAACCTGAACTATTTTGCTGCAAAGCGGAGAAGCAGAGATCGCAAACTCGCGCGAGGTGATTCTTCAGGTATTTCAGCGGCTGTTTGTTAGTTGAACAGGCCTGACACACAACCTATACATGCCATAGATAGATAGAAATAGTCAGATAGATAGATAGATAGATAGATAGACAGATAGATAGATAGATATAGTCAGATCATAGATAGATAGATAGATAGATAGAAATAGTCAGATAGATAGATAGAAATAGTCAGATAGATAGATAGATAGATATAGTCAGATCATAGATAGATAGATAGACAGTATTTCATGTTCCAGCATGTAGCTAAGTATTACTAGCATGCTTTTAGCATGTTTGAACCTATAGTTAAGGGTTAACACTTTTTGGCTAGCTTGTTACTAGCATGTTTCTTGAAGTTGTTACCATTACCTAACACGTGTTTAAGCACGTTTTCATACATGTTTCATACATGTTTTAGCTTGTTTCTAGATCTTGTTAGCAGGTTTTTGCATGTTAATGCATGTTTTTGTTTCTGTTGGTAGCATGTTTTACCATGTAATATGTGTTATTTAATATGTATTAGCATGTTGCTAACGTTATTGTACAATGTAGCCTATAGAGGGCCGCAGTGATGTCATTTTTGTCAACGCCGGCATTGCTAACCTGAAAGTTAGCATCACCGTTTCCCTCAACAAAAAGTCAATGGGATTTTCCATTGCCTTTCGGATAATTGCAGAAAATAAGCTCTGTGACCAACAAAAGTTTATGATTCTTGTTAATATATGATTATATGAGTGTTAATGTGTGTTAATATCAGGTGTGAATGGGGTCTTTGTTAAGGGAAATCTTCTCACCTTCCCACAGGCTCTGCAATGGTGGCGTCTCCAGGTGAGGGTGAACTCACAGGTGCAGATCATGCACATAGTGGCCCTCAGGTCCGGGATCCATATCGGGGCTTTGGATCCCAGCTGGGCCCCGCTGTCTGGAACATCTTGGGTTGCCTGAAATATTGCAAGTTGACAACAAAATTGCGCACTTGAAGCATTATGATGATACAGGTCATTTCAATCAGTCAGTTTACCATCTCAGGGTTTCTGACTGAGGTGAAGGTGGTCTCTTTCTTGGTGTAATCGTCGATTGCGGTGGAAATGGCCTGAAGCCACTCATCTCGACATGCAGCAGAGCTTTGAGGATAAAACCACGAGAGTGTATCAATCAGAAACATACACATTCAATTGTATGGATTTCATGTTACGGTGCATGAAATGTCAATGATGAATAATAAGAATTTGGACCCCAAATTTATTCACCCTGATGTAATTTGTATAACTTTCTTCTGTGGAATAGAATATATTTGATTTTAATATGTCTGTTTTTTTGTCCATACAATGATGTTTTGGACACTAATGACTTTCAAGTTTCACTGTATGGGCAAAGACGATTAAATATATATAAACATAGTTAAATTTTCCCCTGAAGACAGTCAGTCATGTAGGTTTGGAGCGATGAGGCTCAGAAAATTATGACAATTTTAATTTTGGGGTGAACTATCCCTTTAAGGACTAATTAATAAACAAGACAAAAATGAGGACCACATCCTACATACTTAATATTTTGGCATTTCATGGACAGATTCTCACCTGGCAGATAGAATAAAAGATCGTTCAACACTCTCAATGTTTAGCTCATTCTGATACCCCTCCTGACTAGGCTTACTGACCTGAGGATAATACAGTAATAGAAAATATGACATTTTGAAATGTGTGTAAATATGCAAAAATATGTTTAAAATGGAAAAAAAAAATAGCTGTGACAATTTCAGCAATAAAAATCTCACCTCCATCTCAGCCAATGACAGTATGTTGTTCAGTTTGAAATTACCCGTTGCTACTGGCGTGGTATACAGAAGACTATCATTTAACTGTTCACAAAGAAATAAGAAATACATTTTTCTCAAGCAAGAAAAACAAAGGGATATGTGAGGGTGGTTTTAAGTCAGAAAACGTCACTTATTTTAGGCTCAATATTAGGGAAAAACATAAAAACATATCTACAAAAACAAAACTAACAAAAGTCACCATAGAAACAACAAACAAAAAAATAAACAAAAGCCAACATAAAAACAACAAACATTTACCATAAAATCAACAAACAAAACTCAACATTAAACAAACAAAAGTCAACATTAAATGAAAAAACAAACAATAAATATAAAATAAAACAACAAAACCCGACATAAAATCAACAAACAACCAAACAATAAATCAAAATTTAAAGACATAAAACCAACAAATAAAACAAACAAACAAAACCAACAAGTCAACATAAAAATCAACAAAAAACAAACAAAATCAAACAAGTCAGCATAAAATAAAAAAAGAAACAATAAACATAAAACCAAACAACAAAAGTCAACATAAAATCAACAAACAACAAAACAAACAATAAACATAATATCAACAATCAAAATTAACTAAAGTCTACATAAAAATCATTAAGTCAAATAAAACCAAAAACATCAAACTCAAACAAACCCAACAAAAGTCAAATAAATAAATAAATAAAATCAAACAAAACCAACAAGTCAACATAAAATCAACAAACTAAACCAAAAATCCAACAAAATCAAACAAAACCAACCAAAGTCAACATAGTATCAAAATGATAAAACATAAATGTTTTGTTATTTTATTTTGCAAAAATAACCAAGGGCATGAAAAAATCTATTAACCAATAATACCATACCCTAACATCCATGAATTATGTCTCATTACAGAAGATGCATTGTGAATATTGTTTCATGTCATGTTTAATCAAACCAAATGAGCAGTGAGACGGCTGTCACTTACTAAGAATAACATTCGAGGCTGCATCCCCTTCCTGGAGAGCTTCATCAAGATCCCTTCCTTTAACAAAACCTAAGAAAACATACATGAATATATTACAAAAGCATTTCCGGTTACAAACAGTTCAACAGGAGTTAACGCTTGTGAACGTACCCGTCCTGGTTGAACGATCACGTGATGCCCAGTGAGGCGGCACTGAACCTCGTACAGCTTCTGGCAGTTATCCTGCGTGAAAACCACATTTCATATTCCTCAAGATTTTACATAAAAGCATAAGCTATTGTATGTGTAGCTTTTTTTAAATCTAAAAAACGGATTCTGAATTACCTCGTGTCTTACGATTTCATTTGCATGATTAGCCACCTCCTTTACTATCATCAGGGCAGCTGTAAAGACATATAAAGATATTATTTATATATCATGTAATAGAAGACTGAGATTTGCTGTGTGCCTAATAACAAAATATTTCAAAACCATTTATTTTCACCTTCTGCATCTTTGTAGTCTGGCGATTCTTCATCTAGATTGTTCAAATAACCTAAAGAAAAATGATAAAGGTGTATATTAAAAAATCTGAAATGTATAAATATATAAAATGAACACTATGAATAATAAACAATTAGAAGTTGGCATTAAGCCATTTTACTAGCTGATTTTTTTTACCACATTTCCACTCATAAGCTCTTTTTTATGTTTTGTTTTCTCAGTAAACGTAGCTACGTGTTGCAAGTGCAGATTGTTTCCATGATAACGAATGTATAAATATATAAAATGAACACTATGAATAATAAACAATTAGAAGTTGGCATTAAGCCATTTTACTAGCTGATTTTTTTTTACTACATTTCCACTCATAAGCTCTTTTTTATGTTTTGTTTTCTCAGTAAACGTGCCTTTAGTTTCTAACAATTTCATAAAGTTGACTAATGCAAGTATGAAGAGCTAGAATAATCCTGTTTGAAAACACTTATGTAATCAGTGCATTTGCATTATTACATACATTGCTCACATTTTTTGCAGCATTAAGCCTGAACTGCTTACACAACACAAAACACGCAGGAACATGCAGCTCAGACTTCTGCTTTCTCTGTGAAGCTGATTAGGTGTTTACTGTGCTAAAACTAATGCATATAACTGACATATACAAAAAAAAAATGCTCTTGTGTTCAGATCAATTATCTCTCTGCCCTACCCTAGCAACTCTACGGCAATGTGCTCAAACCATCTAAGCCACCTTTATGAAAACTTAGCAACCACCCAATACACTAGAAACTGCACTGCAATGAACAGAAACCATTTAGAACACGTTAGCTATACCCTGGCAACTGCACAGTGCTAAAACACACAGAACACCTTAGCAACCACCCACAATACCCTAGCAACTGTAATGCATTAGAAACCATACAGAACACCTTGGCAACTGTAATGTGTTAAAAAGTACTTAGAACACCTTAGCAACTGCCTAGCAACACCCTGGCAACCACTCACAATACCTTAGCAACTGCAATGTGTTCAAAACAACTACTCCGAACACATTAGCAACCACATAGCAACACCCTGGCAACCACCCACAATGCCCTGGTAACTGCAATGTTCTAAAAACACCTTATTAAAACCTAGCAACCACCCAAAACCCTAGAAACTCCACTGCCATCAACAAAAACCATTAAGAACACCTTAGCAACACCCTAGCGACTACCCACAATATTCTGGTAACTGAAATGCGTTAAAAACTACTAAGAGCACCTTAGCAGCTGCATAACAACACCCTGGCAACCACCCACAATACCTTAGCAACTGCAATGTGTTAAAAACTACTCAAAACACATTAGCAACCACATAGCAACACCCTGGCAACTAGTGATGGGCAAATGAAGCCTCGTGAAGCACTGAGGCTTTCCTCTGACTGTTTCGGGAAAAGATTCAAAGCTTCGAGTGTCGAAAACAGCGCCATCTGGTGGTTAGTAAAAAAAAGCAGCCAAAAGCCTGTGAAAGACGCTCAGTAGGACAAAGCATCCACCACACATTCCATAGATCGATTCAAGTTACATGCACAAATAAAAGCCTAACAGTGTGTGTGTTTGTTTTTGTTGAATTTCTGTGTCTGATAAATTAATTTACCCATTAAACTTTGCAATTTAATACCAGTACGAATATCAATATGATGTAATAGAAGAATAACATACACATATGAATTGCATATGACAAATATAAAATTTTCCTGAAATAATTAGTATTCTTCATATTACTTGTATGACTGGGTATCTAAAATGTAACTGAATAAGTTCGAATTAGAACTTAGGCCTATTTGTAAAGTAAGATCTGGAGGATCGAACATTTCGACACGCAAAGTGAATTGCACACGTGACTGGACAGAAAGTGAAGCTTTGTTTGACATTGGTCACATGATTTCTATGTTAACAACACAAGCTTCGAATCGGGGCTTCATCTGGCACGCCCATTTATTCTCGACACAAGCTCCAATGCCTCAGTTCAAATGTCACATCACTACTGGCAACCACCCACAGTAACAAAAACTACTTAGAACACCTTAGCAAACACATAGCAACACCCTGGCAACCACCCACAATACCCTGGTAACTGTAATGTGTTAAAACATCCAAGCCACCTTTATGAAAACCTAGCAACACCCTGGTAACCACCCACAATACCCTGGTAACTGTAATGTGTTAAAACATCCAAGCCACCTTTATGAAAACCTAGCAACACCCTGGTAACCACCCACAATACCCTGGTAACTGTAATGTGTTAAAAAAAAAAAACCTACTCAGAACACCTTAGCAACCACATAACAACACCCTGGTAACCACCCACAATACCCTGGTAACTGTGTAATGTGTTAAAAAACTACTCAGAACACCTTAGCAACCACATAGCAACACCCTGGCATCCACCCACAATACCCTGGTAACTGTAATGTGTTAAAAAAACTACTCAGAACACCTTAGCAACCACATAGCAACACTCTGGTAACCACCCACAATACCCTGGTAACTGTAATGTGTTAAAAAACTACTCAGAACACCTTAGCAACCACATAACAACACCCTGGCATCCACCCACAATACCCTGGTAACTGTAATGTGTTAAAAAAAACTACTCAGAACACCTTAGCAATTGCATAGCAACACCCTGGCAACCACCTACTGTACTGCAATGTGCTAAAACATCCAAGCCACCTTTATTAAAAACTAGCAATCACCCAAGGCCCTAGAAACTGCACTGCAATGAACAAAAAACATTTAGAACACCCTAGCAACACCCTGGCAATCACCCATAATACATAATAGCAACTGCACTGCAACACTCAAAACACCTTAGCAACACGCTAGCATTGTGGCATTATTTTTTTTATTGGAAAACACTCATTCATTTTCTTCATGAACTCCTAAGTGAATCCTCACTGGTCAGGAGAAGCTGATACTGTGGAATCCTCTGGATGGGTTTCAGCATGTAATGTTTCACTGCCAGGTTTGCACAGCATGGATGGCTCTGTATCAATGAGAGAGAAAGAGAAAGACAGATGATGGCCAGAGGGGCATTTTAGGGGAGTTTTTAAGAATGTAAAAAAATAAAGAAAAAACAAAACAACCCAACAGACTATTCACATCACTACAAAGATTGCCATTCACACAAACTAGAGCATCTAGGTTACTACTGTCTGACATGAACTGACAAAACAGGTCGGAGTGGTTCTGTTACCTCAAACTCTTGGACGGCTTTGGCAAACGCTGTGTTTTTCCGGCACTGCTCTTCTAGAAGGGCCACATTCTTGTCGAACTCACGAATATAAGTGGAGTACATTTTAAGATACGGGCCCTTCTTCACAAATATGTCCGCTACACTGCAATGCTCATTCCTGTTTGAACAAGGGAATTTCTATAAATAGTTCACATAAAAATACTCTCTGGTATAATTTATTTGCCCTCATGTTGTTCCAAAACCCGCATGACATTCTTTCATCCGTGGAACACAAAAGAAGATATTTAGAAGAATGTGCTGGTTGCTCTTTTCGAGAAACTGATCAGTTCAATTTGTGAAAGAATCATAAAATTCGAGTCATCTCATTCATTGAAAAGACTCACAAGAACAGTGAAGATGTCAAGATTTACAGTAAATAACGAGTTAAATTTCAGTATGTTTTTCATGCAAAGCTATGATATTCCTTTAGAAATTAGGAAAATAGTGCAAGATTTATATCGAGTATTTATGTGATATTTTATTGCGCATTTAGTTCCTTTTTGAAGCTTGAAAGCTGCAGTCTCTTTCATTGTAACTGCTAAAAGGAGCGACTAGCACATTCTTTAAAATTTCTTATTTTGTGTCAGAAGAAAGTCATACAAGTGTGGAATGACATGTGGGCGAGTAGATGTTCAAAGAATATTAATTTTTAAATATTCACATTATTAAACTCTCGAAGTGTTAAATTTCAATGACTAGTCATATCTAGATTTCTGACACTTTTTGGAGAAAATGCTGGAGAAAATTAACCCCGAATAGTATATGGGTCAATGACGTGATGTTTAAATTTATACCATCTATTAAATTATTTAGAAAATGCAATTCATACATATATTGACTTAAAACACCTGTTCTATAAAGACAGTTTTAATTTGTATAACCAAATTTTTTTTTTTTAAGTTTTTTTAATTAAATAATTTCTTTTTTATTAGTTCAGGTTGTAAAATGTAATGTAGTGTGACTTTAAGCATGATATTTACTGTAGAAATTGTTTTTAAATAAACGAAAATACTTTTTACCTTGATTTTTTATTTTTTTTAAAATTATGATTAAGATGTGCACACATGTAAAATGTTTTTTTTAATGTTTACACCACATCACATTGATTAAATGTAATATTTATAAAATATTTATAAAATATTTTCTTGAATATGGTATGTAATTTATCTTGTAATTTCTTGAATATGAGCCAACATTAGTACAAAGATTACATTTCTAAAACTTGACACATTTGTTTTAAACTGGATTTGATATGTCACTCACAACTAAAGCAAATTTCTTTGTCTAGCTTAGCAATTACATAAGTATCAAACATAACTTTTTCTATAGTTCTACAGTGACATTTTCCATTTAATTGTGACAGACCTACAAATGCACTGTAGCTACTGACTTTCCAGTGTTTCAATATAAATAAGAAGGTATGCAGGATTGTTGCTTTCTCGTGGTTTGTTGATGTTTGCGCGTTACTTATTTGAAAAAGTAACTCAGATATTCTCTTGTAAATTAAAAAGTAATGCGTTACTTTACTAGTTACTTGAAAAAAGTAATCTGATTACGTAACTCGCGTTACTTGTAATATATTACCCCCAACACTGGCTAAGGGGGTTTTAGGCACGACGCGAAGCAACGCCCCTTAGCTGTTATAAATTCACTTTATAAAACGGAGAGTTCCGGTCCTTGCTTCTGATTGGCTGAGCTGCGTTTGAAGCTGTTGTAAATTACAAAGTAACATACACCTTTGTTTACGTTTGTCTGTTGCTTGGCAACCACTTTGTTGCAACCACAACTGATTCTGAGGAAATACATTGTTTGGTAGAAGAATACTGTTTTTATTAATATTATTACAATTTATTTGCTCTGTTTTATTTTGTGAAACCATACTGCGTATATGGAATAAGTTTATTATATGAAAATGTATTAAAAGCATTTTTTGTAACGCTTTTACTGTCACTTTTGATCAAGTCGTTCCTGAATAAAATGATTTAATTCTTTAAAAATAAAAATCTTCTTCCTACTAATCCCAAACAGTAAAGTGTGCTCATATAAACGTATGATATGACATATAGCATTATGTCATATAGCATTATGTCATATGTCATTATAACAGTTGTGTAGCAGTCAGACCGATAAAACTAAATGAAAAGCTAAATGAAAAAAGCAGCTTGCTACCTTGATGCTACCAAACTGCTATTTGATTTTTAAAAATGGCGACACAAATACTGAGAAACTAATAGAATAACACTGCTACTGGCCAACAATGACTGCAAGCAAGTCTGATTTCACTATTAATGTATAAGAAGCAGATGAAGCATAAAAAAGCAGATTTAGAAAAGAGCCCATGTGACTGATTTACTCACATTTCATGAAAAAGCAGGGCTTTGCAAGGGACTTTATGTAACGGCCTACCTACAATAACGTGACTGTATCTAAATTAGCTCAAAAAGTCAGTGAACACTTACTACATGGAGGAGCTTCAGAACTTTCACAAATCTGGAAATAAATACAACGAGAACAATAAAGACAAATATAAAAAATATTAAAAAGAAGTATTTATGTGAACAAAACAGGCTTACATTTTCTCAGAAGACAAGATCTCATTAACAATGTGCGCAACCTTGGTCTTCTTCGCTTCAGTCTAGAAAAAAAAACAAAACTTTACTCTCCTGGATAAAAATCATATTTCCAAAAAGTATATTCTTTATTTTAAAAAGTATATTCTTTCAAAAGTATATTCTGTCTGTATTTAACATATGTTAAATATTGTACTGGATTTTAATTCAGAGAAAATTATTATTATTATTATTGATACACTCTTAAAAATATGAGTGCATCCTTTTCATTCCAATGAAAATAACTATTTAGCTCTAATTAAATAAGCAGACTAAGTATCGAAAGTGTTATGTTATATAGAAAATGTTTATATAGTTTGTGTATACTGAGCTGTAATATTTCTATAAATATATAACATTTGTTTTTTTAGGATTCATGAAGTGTTATTTCTAATAAAGAGCTCAGAACATTTCTCAATATCCTCTAAATGTGAATACAGTACCTGTTTTTCTTTATTGACGGTGTTATCCTCGTCTTCTGAGCTGCCTTCATCTTCTTCTGAATGCGTATCATCCACTTCCTGCACTTCTTTCAACACATTTCTGAAAAGAAATCAAAAGGCCTCTCAGATCTCAAAGGCATGTGAGAGGAACTGAAGGGCTGCCATGAATACATCACCAAATGTCCCTTCTTCCAGTCGTAAGTTAACAGCTACAGAAGCAGAAGAGTCAATAGTAATGACTCAGCATCTGTAGTGTGAATCAGATGTAGGTCAAATGTGAAATCATGCAGCAACACCTGTTTAGAATGCTGCGGCCATTCTTCAAATTCCACGTCGAATTGGTGCGTCACATAAACCAAACAAAAAATATTTTTAAGTTTGTATCGACCTAAAGTTTTGTTGGTGCTTTTAGCCGGCAAGTATCTAATTACCGCAGTGTAAACAAGAAAAACCAAACTGGAGCGTCTGTCAAATTAGCCCTGGCTAACGTCCAGTCTTAATAAAATATGTTTGTTATTGATATTGTGGATATGCGTTTGAAAATGTAATTACAAATTAGGTTATTTTAAAATCAGATGGGTTATTGGCTGATGAATTTACTAAATATATTACTAAAATATTTCGTTTACATGATGACATTTGTAAACACTCCAAAGAGAAAGGAAACCTTGAAATCGCATCATATGACCCCTTTAACTTTTTTTTCAAAAAAATTCAAAACATTCAAAGGTTATCTTGACAAACTTTGCTTTTCTTGACAGTTGATTTGTTTAAATTTTGGTTCATTTGAATTCTACCTTACATTCCAATTCAAATTGCAATTCTACTTAAATTAAAATTCAGGAATTAAATCAATTATCTCATGAATTATTCAAGATAAAAATGAAAAGTTATCTATATTTCTTACTGTACATTATAACGTCGTCATGTCTAAATTAAAGTGTCATAATACTAATTTAACATTTACATTTTTTTTGTTTCTAGTCTGTGTTTTCACAAAATACAAAATGTTGGCTCTAAGTTCAAACATGAATATAACTATCGGTTGATCTGCATTGGACAATTTTGTATCAATATCTATGCATACTAACCTTTCAAGAAACTGCTGCTCTTTGGCATCTACGTAGTGTTCAGGGAACACATCAGGAACTTCATAAATACCATCGTCCTCATATTTTGAAGACTGGTATTGGTATTTATTGGCATTCTGTGCCGTTGCAGTGCTAAAAGGAGGCAGGTTTTCGTATTCTGTGATATCTTCATATGCATGTTCAGATTCACCAACATTGTCTAGATCTTCATCTACATTCTGCTCAACTCCTAATATGTTCCCATTCACTGCTTGCCTCAGTTTCAGTGCATCTGGATGTCCATTGTGCAGTGGCATCGGTTTCTGAGAGCAGATTTTGCGCTGGCTTTCCTCCGTGTCCACTGGCTGCTCGTTCTTAACCGGAGTGAGATCGTCGGCCTGTCCACTCTTGACAGATACCTTGGGCACCTTTTTGACACGGTCAAGGTCCATGATCCAAAGAAAGGAGGTCTTCTTGAGGCCATCGGGTTTAAGGGTGTCTGCTGACGAAAAGGACTTGGATTTCGGCTTGAGTCTCTTCTTGTTTGGCACATCACTTGCTTGCTTCTTCTCAACTGCAAGAGGAGGATGTCCTTCAGCATTTTTTCCATCGTTTCTCAGTGGAGATTTGGACGCTGGTTTCTTTTTAGGGAGTCTATCTACTGAAAGTTCTGTAGCCCCAATGTTATCGTGCCTGCGGCCATCAGCTCGAGGTTTTTGGGTCTTCTTCTTCAGATGTTTTCCGCTTGACACCGAAATCTCAACGACCTCAGGGATTGCATCCAGATTTTGTACTTTCTTTTCAGTTGCCTGTACACCAACATTCTGGGTTTTATTTTGTTGCATCTGAGGGATCTTCTGGTGTGGGGCAGGTGTTGGAGCGCCCTGGCTGGTGCCCTGGGTACCTTTAGCACCCCTTGCGGCCTGAGGATCTTTGTTCTCTCTATACCGTCTTGCAGCATTGATGTTCACGTTATTAGGACTTTCTCTCCGTAACGGATCTGGATTGTTTACATCAACAGGTAAGACGGTAAGCTCTGTTTTGGTAAGGCCTGTTGACTCCTGAAGGACAATGTTGGATTGTTTCTTCTTAGTTTTGTGCTGTATGGCTGCTGGTGGTGCTTTCACAGGTGGCTTAGTAGGGAACGGACAATACTGCGCACTATTTAGTGCTTGCTGACATTCTAGAGGTTCTGGATCACCATCAACAGATGAATTGACACTAGAAACAATGTTGTTTTGGTGTTTCCTGGTCGTTTGCATCTCAGAACCACTCTGATGTGCCTTAAGTGGCTCTGTGTTCTGGGATGTTTTCCGAGGTTTTTCAGTTGGATGGAAATGATTACTATTGGATGAACTGTGTTCAGAGATGCACTTCGACGAAGTAGGTGTCACTAAATCCTTCTGTTCTTCTGGAGTTCTCAGCGGAGGTTTGGATGGGTTCTTTCTGGGTCCTTCGGTTTTGCCTGCCTTATACTTATCAGGACTTTGTTGATGAACATTTTGGTTGTTTTCCTTTGGTGAGCAATCGGCACAGTTTCGGTCAGAGCATACACAGATGGGAATGATGTAATCCCACTCCGGCTTGTTGTTCCCAGTGTGCGCTTCATTTCTGAAATTTAAAGCACCAACGGTCTTTGTGATGTCAGACTTTTGTTGTAAAACAGCTTGATGGCCAACCTTGGATGTGAGGTGCTTTGAATTGAAAGCGGAAGGGGGAAGTTTGGAGAGACATGGCTTTGGTGCCACATCAGGCTTAACTTTGCATTTAACAGCCGGTGAGGAAGGCTGGTAAACACACAGCTTTGAAGCAGGTGGATGCTCTGTTTGCTTCGGTGCTGGGAGAACCTTTGGTTTTGGTGCCAAAGGTGGTTTCTGATCACCAGCTGAGAGGAAAAAGAAAAGCACATGGAGAAATGTGAACAAGAAAATAACTCTTTGGTTGAAACACAGTTAGCATACTTCAACCATTTAAACCATATTGTGTTTAGTTTGACTTCCATAATGTTTGAAGTCCCTCAGACACATTTTGCTGTTGGTATTTTAGTACATCTTAACTATTCTACTAAAACACTCATCTTAAAAATAAACGTTTCAAAAGGAGGCTTTTGCAGCGGTGCCATAGAAGAACCAATTTTGGTTCCCCAAAGAACCTTTCATTGAACAATTCTGAAATTAACAATTTTTTCTTAGTGTGAAGAACCTTTTTCCACTTTAAAGACCCTTTTGTGGAATGAAAAGGATGCACTAATATTTTTAAGAGTGTATCAATAATAATAATAATAATTTTCTCTGAATTAAAATCGAGTATAATATTTAACATATGTTAAATACAAACAGAATATACTTTTGAAAGAATATACTTTTTTAAATAAAGAATATACTTTTGGAAATATGATTTTTATCCAGGAGAGTAAAGATGATTCTTTTAGGGGTCAGTTTGACCCCAGCAAGAACAAACAACCGCATACAGCAGTGCAAAACGATCACAAAGTATGTAAAAATTCATTGCATTTATGTTTTGTTTTTTTTACCTGAAACAAAATGTTACATTTTAGCAGTGTTGGGGAAAGTTATTTTTAAAAGTAATGCATTGCAATACTGCAATACTCCATGAAAAAGTAACTAAATGCAAGTTACTTTTGCATTTGTCAACTGGTCTGGGCTTGCTTATTATTATTATTATTTTTATATAACAAAAATCCCAAAAGTTATATTTTTTCCAACTGTAAGGACCCTTTCACATGAAAAGTGAAAATAATAGGGCCTCAGGCTGAAGGAAGTGCCTCTGCACCTCACTCCCAATTTCTCTAAACACGGGGACAAAAAAGATGTCAGTCAATAAATGGGAAAAAAGTCACTTGCGTTACTTATTTGAAAAAGTAATCCGATTACATAACTGGTGTTACTGGTAATGCGTTACCCCCAAAACTGCATTTTAAAAGTTTTGACATATTAGGCTACTTCTAAATATTCTTTAAGTCATTAACTCATAAAAGTAGGAATAATCGTTACATTAAACATTAAGCAGGCTTGGGGTCTCTCAAAACCCACAACACAAAGGGCTTGAACGATTGAAGTTATTCTAACAAGCACCTTTAAGATGCTGTCATTTTCAGTTTCTACATTGATCTCTACATTGCAGGAATGTACTGTACATGGAAAGTCCCCAGCTTTAATAAAAGTAAGCAAGATTCATATTGCATATTCTACTATTTAACTTTGTTAAAGTAATAAACAATTAAAATATCCATCAAATAGGCCTACACCTAGACCGGTTGTAGTTTTGACAGTGTGTATTATTCCAGGAAAATAAATAAATAAAAATAAATAAATAAAAGCACTCACCTGCTGCTCTCTTCATCGTCCCAAAATATTATTCATGACACATATGTGACCATCAGCAAAATTTTCGCCGTTTTTCTGTGCATTTATAGAAGTTTAACGACACGATCCAAAGCGATGTTTTCAGTCCAGTTTAATGAGGAAAGACTGATCAAATTCTTTGAGAGGCTCAGAGAGGGCGGGTTACATCTGTACACACGTGCCTTTGTGTGCAACTAAAGCAATTCCAGTTTCAGTAATCCCATTCCCTCCCATCGTGCGCGGGACTGCCTCTGTTGATCCGACTGCGTTCATAAAGGAAGAAGTCCCATAAGGCGTTAATACAGAGGGCATTACACGGAAATAAAAATCTCTTTCTGTGCTGAATGTATCCATGTCGGTAAAATAAAATAAATCTGTAACTGATCATCTGGTAAAGACGTGTTCAATCACGCCAACAGTTTTCAAAATCTAGCCTAAATGTTATATTGGAAAGTAACTAAATGCAAGTTACTTATGCAAGTTACTTTTGCATTTGTCAACTGGTCTGGGCTTGCTTATTATTATTATTTTTTTTATATAACAAAATATTTTTTCCAACTGTAAGGACCCTTTCACATGAAAAGTGAAAATAATAGGGCCTCAGGCTGAAGGAAGTGCCTCTGCACCTCACTCCCAATTTCTCTAAACACGGGGACAAAAAAGATGTCAGTCAATAAATGGGAAAAAAGTCACTTGCGTTACTTATTTGAAAAAGTAATCCGATTACATAACTGGTGTTACTGGTAATGCGTTACCCCCAAAACTGCATTTTAAAAGTTTTGACATATTAGGCTACTTCTAAATATTCTTTAAGTCATTAACTCATAAAATTAGGAATAATCGTTACATTAAACATTAAGCAGGCTTGGGGTCTCTCAAAACCCACAACACAAAGGGCTTGAACGATTGAAGTTATTCTAACAAGCACCTTTAAGATGCTGTCATTTTCAGTTTCTACATTGATCTCTACATTGCAGGAATGTACTGTACATGGAAAGTCCCCAGCTTTAATAAAAGTAAGCAAGATTCATATTGCATATTCTACTATTTAACTTTGTTAAAGTAATAAACAATTAAAATATCCATCAAATAGGCCTACACCTAGACCGGTTGTAGTTTTGACAGTGTGTATTATTCCAGGAAAATAAATAAATAAAAATAAATAAATAAAAGCACTCACCTGCTGCTCTCTTCATCGTCCCAAAATATTATTCATGACACATATGTGACCATCAGCAAAATTTTCGCCGTTTTTCTGTGCATTTATAGAAGTTTAACGACACGATCCAAAGCGATGTTTTCAGTCCAGTTTAATGAGGAAAGACTGATCAAATTCTTTGAGAGGCTCAGAGAGGGCGGGTTACATCTGTACACACGTGCCTTTGTGTGCAACTAAAGCAATTCCAGTTTCAGTAATCCCATTCCCTCCCATCGTGCGCGGGACTGCCTCTGTTGATCCGACTGCGTTCATAAAGGAAGAAGTCCCATAAGGCGTTAATACAGAGGGCATTACACGGAAATAAAAATCTCTTTCTGTGCTGAATGTATCCATGTCGGTAAAATAAAATAAATCTGTAACTGATCATCTGGTAAAGACGTGTTCAATCACGCCAACAGTTTTCAAAATCTAGCCTAAATGTTATATTGGCTAAATGTGAAAAATATTTAGCGATAAATTGGATTACAGCTATGAATCCCAAACTCCTTGTTTAAATTTTGCATCCATGTCCACAGGCCATACCCTTACCAAAAAGTAGTATACTTCAAGTTTATTTTAGTAAGTATACTTAAGTAAAGTTCAAGTATATTTTTAAGTATACTTTATGTAGTAAGTATACAAATATCAGTGTACTAGTAGTATACTTGTAAGTGTACTATTTCAATACTCCTTGGGACTAAATTGGCCCACTTTCTAGTATATAAAAGTATACTTTTAAGTATACTTTAAGTATAACAGTAGTAAACTTTAAGTACACAACTAGTTTACAACAATATTTTTAGCCTGTACTGCAACTATACTAAAAGTGAACTTATAGGTATACTGATAGTTTACTAATTAAATACTTGTAGTAGCATTTTAGTACACTTTGAAGTATAGTCTAAGTAAACTACTAGTTTAGTAGTTTTATACTGCAAGTATACTCGTAAGTTTTCTTTAAGTGAACTTTACATCATACTTTAAGTATACTACTATGTCACTATTTAGGTATTAATTTGTATATATTTTGTCACATGAATATCAGAACATACAAAACATCAAAAGAACAGGGTATCTGCTTGTAAACAAAAACATTTTAATCTAGCTTCATGCATTCTTTTTTTAAACACTTGAATGTGGATAAGTTTCATAAATAAAAAATAAAGAAATAAACAACATTTTGAACAAAAAGCTGAAAAAAGACTATTAATTGGATTCAGAATGATAATCAAAACGTAGATAGAGTCGATCAACACCCCAAAGCTTGACAGTTATTATTACCTCTTCATTGGTCGACATTTTATTCCATAATGTTACATAGTTTTGATACTGTTTTATGTCTGATGATCGTGTTAGATTACATGTGGAAGCATCTGTTGTTTCGGTTTCTTCTTCACTTGTGTTTTTTGGAAATTCTGTACAGAAGATGTGTACTAGCGCCCTCTACAGTATAACAATGAAAACACGGATTCTAGGAGCACAATTATAGCTAAAATATATTTAGACTTTTTCTAAGTATAAGTCAAGTATACTTAAATGTCATTTTAAGTATATTTCTGAGAAGTACATAAAGCCCATTTCTGAGAAGTACATAAAAAGTAGACTAAAAGTAGGCCTATACTTTCCTATTTTTAGTTTAAAAGAAGCATACTAATAGCACACTTGAATAAACTTCTTTTTCGTAAGGGTAAGCCCTAAGCAATGCTCGATTTGTGAACGAATCATCAAGGGAACTAATCGATTTTTTTTAAATCCGATTCGCAAACCGGTCTGAAAGATCCAATGATGTCGAATAATGACGAATACTCGAGTCAACTCACGATTCATTGAACTGTCTCATACATGTTTCATTCGTATTGAGCCGATCAGGAACCGACCAGCAAAGTGGACGTTTGAAGCAAACGCAATGTGTATGTGCTCTAGATATGGTTTATTAGAGCATGTTAGAATACGGATGTCTGGTGGTGTTTTTGAACAAATCATCTGATCCAAATAAAGGCCTAAATGCGTAACACTATGGCGTTCAGTGGGGCGTTTTCAAACCATGGGCCTCTATATTTAAAAACGCCCATATAGAATACGGATGTCTGGTGGTGTTTTTGAACAAATCATCTGATCCAAATAAAGGCCTAAATGCGTAACACTATGGCGTTCAGTGGGGCGTTTTCAAACCATGGGCCTCTAGTGGGCCTCTATATTTAAAAACGCCCATATCGCTTTGACCGCCTCTAATATAAATGTCTCTTTTTGTTCTACTACAGAAATAGATGCAACATCGATCCCCACCTAATGAATCTTTTTGGTGAACCGTTTCAAAAGTTCCGAGTCGCTGAAGCAAGCTAAAAAAAAAGTTCTAACCTTAAACCAGGGGCCGGTTGCATAAACCTCTTAGACTAGACTTAAAAAGTTAGTCATCTAATTTTTTCTCTTTAAGACTGGTCATAATTTCTTAAAGTCAGTTATAAAAAGGGAGAATGGTCTCATTTGAATCCAAAAGGTAAGTCTGATTACCTCTTGGCTAACAACTAGTTGGTCAAACTAGTTCTTAAGACATAGTCTTAACACAGAGGCTATGTTTGAAATGAAACCGAATTATTCTGTAACAATTTTGCTCTCATGTAAAGGAAGTACATCTGTTTGAGGTACATGTCCACAGGAAATCACAAAATCAGCAACAGGTCTGTATTTGTTCCAGATAGGCTGTCGGGTTGTGTATGGTGTGTTTTCTTTTTTCAGGTTACGTATTCGCCAATAGATGGTCTTAATGTGTATTTTAATAAACCCAGAAAAACTACATATTACATACACAAAATTGTTTAAAGACATGGAGCCAATGGGGCGTTATTGAATAAATTGTACAGTGGCGTCCTCTAGTGACTGAGAAGTCATTTTCAGCCAAGGTCCAAAGTCTGTCAGCAGTATTTCAGAACATTTATATACCTGTACTGAAGTTTATGTGATATACATTTTAAAGTCACAATGGTTCCCTGATAGCACACGTACTAAGGTGTTAATAGATGTGTGTTGTCCTTGATAAATAAATAAATACATATTAAACATGTACAAATACAATATATACAAATAATAAATATTTACAAATATTCCATTAAACATATGAATATGCTACATAAATGCTTTAAGCCGCTTGGTCTCAACTGCTGGTCTTTGATTTTGTTTGCCATGCGCTGCTTTTTTTCTGGAGGTGACTGCCGACCCACAAGGAGAGGCTTGACGCTTCTGCTGCAGCAAATCCTTCTTCAGTCGCTCAGGTATCTTGAGCTTTTGCCTCTCTGTGGTCTTTTGGGGCACAGGTGCTCCCTTCACAGAAGAGGCTGGAGGTGACAGCTGCAGCAGCTCCTGCCTCAGCGGCTCAGGTATCTTGAGCCTTTGCCTATCTGGGGTCCTGTTGGGCACGAGTGTTCCTTGAACAGAAGAGGATTGAAGCTTCTGCTGCAGCAGGTCTTGCCTCAGTTGCTCAGGGATCTTTGGTTTTGGCACCTTTGGGGCAGGCATAGCTTCTCTCTGTAGAGACTTGCTGCACATGGGTGTGTCTTGAGGAGACACTCTGGGCACTGGTGCTCCCTGTGGGGACCTAACATATAAGAGCCTGCAAGTTGGTTGTCTAAAGTTTTTTTCTTTCTTTTTCTTTTTATACAGTGTATGCCCAGTAGGCGGTTCATCAGCTGAGTTTTTAATTAATTGACCAACTAATGTGCATAACTCAGATGCTTATAATGTAAAAGTATATACCTCCTTCTAAATGCATATCTAATCATTGTAAGGGGTAGCTATTCAACAATCTTTCAGTATCAGCTTTCAGAATTAATCATAATCAAGGAGTGATGAATGGAGTTCCTCACAAAGACAAGATAACATCTATGAGGCTCTGTATTTATGAGTAAATGTTTAAAATGGTCATAGTCTGGATTTGGCACTGCAAGATTTGTTCTGTTTGTATAATATACTGAAGAGTGTTGATGGAGAGATTATAATGCGTCATGAAATATCAAGAATATTGGAGGATATCATCTGTGTATAATTATCAACAATTAAATAAATAAATAAAAAAGCTCAAATCAGTCATTGCTTTGATCATTACTAATTTACATATCTGAAACTTTCCACACGGACCTCCACTGTGTAGCATGCGTTACCCATAAAAAAGTAACTACTTTTTAACTTACTCTTTATGGAAAGTAATGCATTACATTACTTTTGCGTTACTTTTTTGTCACATGAGCACAAGCTTGCTTATTTGATTTTTAATAACAAAATACCCAAAAGTTATATTTTTGCCAACTGTAAAGGCCCTTACACACCAAAAGTGAAATGAATAAACCTCAGTCTGAAGGAAGGGTCTCTGCCTCTGCACCTGACTCCCAAATTCTCTCAACATGGGGCAGGAAAACAAAGTAACTTGCTTTACATGTTTGAAAAAGTAACTCAGATATTTTTATGTATTTTTATATTTTTAAAACGCGGCGCTCAAGTAAAAAAGTTCAACTCCCATCTTCCTGCATTTTTTATCACGTGCATGCGGTTCATCACATATGCCGACATGCGGGTGGATCATTCTTTTCTCTTTACTGTTAACATTGGCATACTGTCAAAGTGTCTAATTCTAACGTTTGGTAATATTTCTATTCAAAATCGTGATTCCTCGATTTATATAAAAAGAAAAATTGTGACAAAACATTAAGTTCGAATTAATCGATAAAATCGCCCAGCCCTACTCCAAACTTTTAAATATAGTGTACATTTGTTCTTTATTATAATATAGGATATTCCAGATTACATCATTTTTAAATATTACTTGTTGATGAAGTTTAAGATTAATTAAATATATAAAAAGAACGTTGTTTTTCATTCTCCACTTGCCTTTATTAACAATTTTCCATCCTCCATTTGCCAAATATTAACAACATATATCTGGATGTGCACAAAAAAATCTTGTTACAAAATTCTGCCCAAAATGGTTAAAAGGCTCAGAGCCTGTGGAGATTGTGGCCAGTAAATGATGCAGTGTTTGTCAGAACAACACTGTTATCTGACGGCACTGGTGCTCCCTGTGGGGACCTAACATATAAGAGCCTGCAAGTTGGTTGTCTAAAGTTTTTTTCTTTCTTTTTCTTTTTATACAGTGTATGCCCAGTAGGCGGTTCATCAGCTGAGTTTTTAATTAATTGACCAACTAATGTGCATAACTCAGATGCTTATAATGTAAAAGTATATACCTCCTTCTAAATGCATATCTAATCATTGTAAGGGGTAGCTATTCAACAATCTTTCAGTATCAGCTTTCAGAATTAATCACAGTCTGTGTCAGAGATCACATGATATCTGTGCTGAGACTCTCCTGTCAATCAAACCTGAAATACTTCTGAAACAAAGCAGAGACAAACAGCGCCCCCTAGTGATTCAGTGACAACTTCAAAGTGTTTCTGAAAGTGTGTGTACCTGCAGTGAAGATGTATGATCTAATCTGACCCACAATGCATCACTTCAGGCGGGTGTTTCCGGTCTGGAAGTCTCTGCAGTGCAGCTCTGGCTGTTTGTGGGCATCTGGGCGTCAGTTTTTCAGAGCCTATTATTGGTTTATGTTGGATGTCTGAGTGTTGATGATCCTCAGTAGCTTCTGACCTGAATTAGGAGAATATTCTCTAGTCAGAAATGTGTTTAAGCAATAATTCACCCAAAATCAGATTTGACAGGAATGACAGGACGCACCATTGTGCTCTAAGAGGACTGGTGGAGGGTCTGTGAGGTTTGTGGATGATTTGAGGACATGCAGTCTGAGATCTTACAGTCATGATGCTCTCAGTCCCATGAGTCTCCTCTGATGCTCTCGCTTTACTGACGTCTGCAGGATGAGCTCTGAGTCTCCGAGTGCGGATCTGCGTGATCCTCCGGCCAGCAGGGGGAGCTGCTGCTGCTCTGGGTGGAGGAGAGGGAGACATCGAACAGCCTGATGAAGAGCTGAGTCTCAACGTCTCTGCAGATTCTGACAGAAAGAAGCACAAGATAAAATCATGAAGAGACTCATGAGCATCATTTATATACGAAAGAAATAACCTGACGCACCTGCTGAGGGACACTGAACGGACCAATCAGGAGAGCTTGTGTCTCTAGTGATGTCATCGCTGCTGAAACTATGGCTGTGACTGCCTTCATCATCATCTTCATCATCGCTGTGGTGGATCCTCATCACCTGCGGCTGCCGCTCCTTCTCAATAACCAACAGACGTCTGTTAGAAGAAAAGCACATTTTAACAGGAAGTGTGTGCGTGTGTGTTTGAGAGTGTGTGTTTGTGTGTGTGTGTGTGTGTGTTTGAGTGTGTGTGTGTGTGTGTGTGTGTTGTTTGAGAGTGTGTGTGTGTGTGTGTGTATGTGAGAAAAAGTTCAGTACTTGTTGTGCTCAATCCTCCAGCTTCTGAGTTCAGTAAAAACATCCCTGTGATCCCGGCTGCTCCACTCTTCATGCTCAAACGTGTGTTCAGGAACGAAGCTACTGATCCGTGTGCTGGGACGAGTTTGAGAGCTAGAGTTTTGGAGCTGGACAGATGGAAAGAATTTTGTTTTCATGGGGTGATATATAATATACATATATAATTCTATTGGTGTCCGTGATTGATGTACGGTATACGGATCAGTTTGATGAGATTCACCTTTATTTTCTGTCTTCGAGCTCGAGCAGCCTGTAGTGGATTCCCACAGAGAACTCGGCCAACACCTGTGCAGACATCACCGTCACGTATTACTTCCCAACACACAGCACACACCACGAAATATGTCATATTATTCTTAATATTACAGTTATTGTAGCATAAACTCATAATAACGTGTATAACAGTTTATGAGAGCCAATAGGGCTGCACAATTAAAGGGTTAGTTCACCCCAAAATGAAAATTAGGCTGTGTTTTACTCACCCTCAAGGCATCCTAGGTGTATATGACTTTCTTCTTTCAGACGAATCCAGTCGGAGTTATATTTAAAATTGTCTTTGATCTTTCAAGCTCAATCGTTGTACTCAGCGGGTGTTGCATTCCTTCTGTTCAAAAGACGTGAAATAAAAAGCACCCTTCCACAAAAAAAAGTGTCTCACACGGCTCCGGGGGGAGAACAAAGGACTCCTGTAGCGAATCGATGCATTTTTGTAAGAAAAATATCCATATTCAAAACGTAATAATCACTTTAATGTAGCTTGCGCCATGATCCCTGCTGCTCCACTCTTCATGCTCAAACGTGTGTTCAGGAACGAAGCTACTGATCCGTGTGCTGGGACGAGTTTGAGACTCAGAGTTTTGGAGCTGGACAGATGGAAAGAATTTTGTTTTCATGGGGTGATATACAGGTGCATCTCAATAAATTAGAATGTCGTGGAAAAGTTCATTTATTTCAGTAATTCAACTCAAATTGTGAAACTTGTGTATTAAATAAATTCAATGCACACAGACTGAAGTAGTTTAAGTCTTTGGTTCTTTTAATTGTGATGATTTTGGCTCACATTTAACAAAAACCAATAAAATAAAACCAATAAAAAAAACATTTTTAGTGAAATGTTGGCCTTCTGGAAAGTATGTTCATATACTGTACATGTACTCAATACTTGGTAGGGGCTCATTTTGCTTTAATTACTGCCTCAATTCAGCGTGGCATGGAGGTGATCAGTTTGTGGCACTGCTGAGGTGGTATGGAAGCCCAGGTTTCTTTGACAGTGGCCTTCAGCTCATCTGCATTTTTTGGTCTCTTGTTTATCATTTTCCTCTTGACAATACCCCATAGATTCTCTATGGGGTTAAGGTCTGGTGAGTTTGCTGGCCAGTCAAGCACACCAACACCATGGTCATTCGAGAGCTAGAGTTTTGGAGCTAGACAGCTGGAAAGAATTTTGTTTTCATGGGGTGATATATAATATACATATATAATTCTATTGGTGTCCGTGATTGATGTACGGTATACGGATCAGTTTGATGAGATTCACCTTTATTTTCTGTCTTCGAGCTCGAGCAGCCTGTAGTGGATTCCCACAGAGAACTCGGCCAACACCTGTGCAGACATCACCGTCACGTATTACTTCCCAACACACAGCACACACCACGAAATATGTCATATTCTTAATATTACAGCTATTGTAGCATAAACTCATAATCACGTGTATAACAGTTTATGAGAGCCAATAGGGGGGGGTGTGCCCGGCCTCTTCTTTAGCGACGACTCACGAGACATTTGCAAACTTTATTGCAAAACCCTGGAATAAAACTCCGTTTGGGAGAAAACGGCAAATTCAATGAATTTAGTAGCCTAAGTAAGCTGTTCAAATGACATACAACATATTTGCATTGTGTCTTTATACCGTTTCGTTCATTTCTTACCTTTTGAGGACAAATAACGTGATATTCAGTGTAGCATTTGTCTTTTGCCTCACCGGACAGCAAGTGGGAAAGTTTGCATAGCAACGGAATCTACTTCCTGGATACTAAATACGGGGTCACCTGGGATTTGTAGTCCATTACTATACGTGGCGTTGTTTAAAATAATAAAAATGTCTGAATGTTGAAAAATGTAAAGAATAAATTAAGGGAAGGTTAATTTGAAAAAATAATTATTATTTCTTGACTGAATAATAACAGACAACATTTGAGTTATTATGAAGCTTTACACAAGTGTTCTTATGTGATTGTTGTGGCACCCTAAATAGTCCACTGTGGAAAAACAATGTAACAGTCTCTCCCTCGATATATTCCATAAACAGATCACATAAGCAACATCAGCAGAAAGAAAAAAAAAGCCTGGTCAGGATATTTACTAAAATTTGATGACAGAAACTGATGATATGATAATAATGTGAACATATACTTGCCAGATGTTTTCAAAACTCAACCGAATGTAGGCCGACTAACTAACTAACTAAATAAATAAATGTATTTTGTTTTTTTTGTAAGAGTTAGAGTTAGGTCCGGGGTACTCAACAGGCCCCTCTGCAATAATTTTGTGGCCCGCGTCATGCTGAAGATTAATGTATTTTTATTATAATCTGCGCTCAAAAGTAGTACAAATATTAGGCAGTGTGACTTTTTCTTTGTCATTTAAATGCAGTTGATACTCCTGACACTTTGCATTGTGTAAATGGCAGATGGTCCTCTTAGTAGCATGAAAAACAAACTTGTATTCAAATTGTGAATGGGTAAAAGCAAGCAAAAAGCACTTCATTACAATGAATGGAGCTGTCATCACGTCAATGAGCTCACGGAGTTTTGCGCCATTGCGAAACCTCGACTAGCATTGGATTATAAATATACTTTTTTATTAAGAAAATACCAGAGATGGCTTGAAGAACACAGATAAACCATATATTGTTGCGTCTTGTGTTTATTGTCTTCATGTTTAATCAGTTCAAGCGTTTCTATTCTCACTAAAGAAATTTGTGAACTATATTTGCTCAAGAATGTTTTGAGTTAGAATATTCTGAGATTGTTTAATACTCTGTTTGAGTATGAATACATTGCATTGGTACAGCAGGAATACATACATTGCATTGATACAGCAAAACAAACTTTTAATCCATTTTTTTGTTCCACATTTTTTTAAATGTTTTATTTTCATGTTCAATATTATTTTAAATAGGACAAGGAAAAGCAAGACTTAGGTAAGTAATAAACTGCATTTCTAAATCAGTAAAACTGCAAATAGTGTCTTAAATAAAGTCTTATAATGCAAATTGTAATTTGTGGCCCTTCACATTTTATGTGGTTTAAATGTGGCCCCCTTGGCCTCTGAACTTGAGTACCCCTGGCTGGGCTATATCTACATTTATTTTTCCAAAATAAAATAAATAATTCAATAAAATATTAAATTGAAATCAAAATTAAAATAATTTTATTGCAAGGGGCCAGCCTAAACATGTAACTTAAAACATAAATGTAAAATATATATGTTAAAAAAACAAATATATTATTTACCAGTAATAATAATAAAAGTGCCAAAATGTTAACAGATAGCAGTAGCACATGCTTAAAAGTAACTTTTTAAATAATTCTACTTTTTTTTTAAAATTTAGATTTATTTATTTATTTAAAAATAGGGCGTAGGGACTCAGAAAACAGTTGTAAATTAAAAAAAAAACTCTACAATTGTGACCTAGTTTAGTCATAAACTTGCATTATACTGTAAATAATGAAACAGGAAGTGTCGCACTCCAAAAATAAGTTTTTTTTTTTTTTACGTGACAAAAAAATTGATACAGTACGTTTGAATTGCTGTGTGCAAGGATGAGGATCCCAGTTCTGGCGGGTGTAGATTGTACTAATCCGATTGGTTGTTTTGTTTTTGGAGGCGGGACCAAGCCTTGTGATTGGCTGTGTTCTGAACGAGCCACTTTTCTGGAATCGGCGAAATATACCGAGCAACGTCACCAGGATCTACTTAATATTCATAAGCTGAGCCTTTGCCATAGTAGGATTGGTGATTGGGCTGAGGGGCGGGGCTGTGTGTGGTGTGGGGCTGGGCGTAGGCTGTGCTGCGCACACACACACACACACACATATACACACACTACAGCGGAGCACATTGTTCACACTGGACTGTCTGCTACATCTAATGCAATCCAGGAAAAGCTCGAAAGAATCGAAATCTCCTGGAGAGTGACTGTATCCGGGGAATCAGAGGTGAAGTGACCATTTTTTTGTTATTAAAGCATAAATCGTTTGATTGCAATGTAATATTGTAAGGAGACCAAGTGGACCGACTCATAGTGGCAAGTATTGCTTACCTAAAACACATATTTTTTATTAATTTACACACACAGTTGGACGATATTTATGGTGATTATTGGTGCGTTTTTATAAATGCATGGATAATGTTTACATTTGTATGAACGATCAGTCATCGATGGTCCGTATGGATTCCAGTACTATTCTGTAATTTTAATAATCAGCGTTTTATTTTAAATTATGAAAATAGAAAGAAGAAATCATGTAGTATTTATTTAATTAGTTTGTATTTAATTTACCCAAACCTGTTCAAGCATCTAAACACTGAATCAGATCAGTTTACACTGAATCAGACTCTAGTAATCGATCAGACTGACCGTTGCTTCTTTTCCCGCCAGCTTGCCGTTACCGGAAAAGATTTCACGTCTAACACTGAATGTAAACATGTTGTCTGTTGTCTAATTTGTTAGGTTTTAGCGGCATCCATGTGACAGTTATGAGCCTCTCTGTATAAACTCGGGTGACGCCCCATAGTACCGGACGAACAATTGCAAATTCTACTATGACCAAGACAAGCTCATGAATATTAAGGAATCCATCCCAAGTTTGCGTCGTAGCGGTCCAATGGCGAAGGACCGTTTGCTGAATACTAATTAGTTTCTGCTGACGTCGCTTGGTAGCGCGCCAATGGCAAAGGCTCCCCTTATGAATATTAAGATGCCTCAACATAGTAGGATTCGTAATTTCTGGACCATGAAGAGCAGTGCGGAAGTTTAATAGTCTGTTTTAACGCAGGCCAATCAAGTTAAGTTCGCTTAAGTACAAAAGTTTGATATTTTATTGCACCTGTAGTCGATTTTTTTAAATACTGTACAGCGTGTTTGTGGATTTTCACTGTTTACAAAGTGAAAGTAAACAAATGTTCTTCTGAAGCCTCATAGACTGTTAACTGTTATTTAATATAAGTAGGTGCTGTCACATTATGCGACTCGGTTTTATCAATTAATATTAGATTAATTTGTATTTAGAGGCTCTTTTTTCACAATATTTACATCATATTACAGGGGTCATATGATGCGATTTC